TCATCTGGTGTACCTGATGTTGAGTTCAATACTGTTGATGGATTTCATTTCAGGATTGAGAGGTTGGTATACTGATAATTTCTACTATTAGAGCATCTAATTCAAGTTCCTCTACAAATGGATCGAATCCCAGCAGTATTGGATTTGTCGCTGATGTAAACGGATGACTGTTCCCCTGACAAGAGCCAAGCTCCATATTTGGATATTGGGTAATGCGAGGACCTGGCAGACAAACCATAATTGGCCGATAGTAAAGAGAGATTTGGTCACCTCAGGAAAACAGCCATATGCAGGGGCGGAGCCAGGGGGTGGCAAGCAGGGGCCCGGGCCCCTGTAATTTTTTTTAATATTTTTTATTTTTTAATATTTTTAATTTAAATAAATAATGTTTTTAATAATATATATTATTAAATTAATTTTGACCTCCCCTGTAAAATGAACCCAGCTCCGCCCCTGGCCATATGAATCCTTGTTCAAAACAGCTCCCAGGGATACTTGCAGGGAAGAAAGTATTAATAATCATTTGAGGCAGGCAAAGCATGCTGAAGGCAATGGCAATCTTGGCAAACAAAACGAGCAGAAACTGCACAGGGCTATGCACAGGGATAAAAAGTCTTATCAGTTCTGCGACTCAATACGATAGGACTGTTGCTGGAGATGGTAAGAATTTTTCATCTAAAAGGGGAGATGTCCAAAGTAGCAAAAGAAAATCAAGACATGAACATGGTCTTCCAAAAAGTGTCAAGTCTGTACATACAGAGGAACCTGTTACTGATGATGAGAGCAAGGGCAAAGAGGGAAGCGAGAAGAAACGTGACTCGAATTCTTGTACGAGTAAGAAGAAAGATAAATGTGACAATTCGAAGAGTACTAGGGACTGTTCTGAACATGAAATGAGTGGTGGCCTTAAAAAAATGAAATTGAACATGTTGAGAGGACCAAGGAAAGCTACTGAATGTAACAGAAACCAAAAGAAATTGGATTCTACCTCCTCAGGTGAAGGCAGCCTCAAGACCAGGGAGGTCAATGATGGTAGTGATCGTATTCCTGTAGACTTAATTAGAAAATGGGAAAGAACAATGGGAAGCCGTTGACGCCATTCTAAACTCATCTCTCATTTCCTCCAAGAAGTCAGAGACAAGAAAAGATAAAAAACTCTGCCTTATTTCTGTATTAAGCACTGGAAATCCTTTCCAACCTCCTGTTGAAGTACGAGTAGCGTTTTTGATTTAGTATTTCTTTAGGAGACAGAAAATGCATTTCCACCTTAGTTATTTTGCACTTCTTCTTGTTTGTATTTTCTCGCCGTTGTTTTAATTAGGAGTAACGATGTTGAATGGCAGTTTTTTACTGATGGTTCTATGAGAAAAATCACTAGTCCTGTCCTAGAATGCATTTTCATGTAAATGGTAAGGATGTTGGATATCACTTTAAAATATCTGACCGAAACCAACACAATGCCATCATGTACATGATATTTTCCTGAAACGTTGGTTCGATTTGGCTTTCGTATTCAGATACTTGATATTTCCTCATCTGCATTCGTATTTCGCTCCTGAAAGTTTCACCAGAAACCTCAGAAAAGCTCGATGCAAAATCAGAGCCATCAGCACTGCTGTAAGAGAGAAAGTCTTTGAGATCCCAGTACAGTATGGTGAAGTAGTTGAATTCCATTTTGAGATTTCAGTGAAGCCTTTTGATCCTCCCGGTAAATTTTTGGAAGCTACAAAGAAGATAGGGGATCACTTGTACCAAGAGTGAAGCAGCTGGCTGCAGCCATACTTGAACTTGAATGCCGA